AACAGTAGGGATTATCAATGTATAATTCCGTATGCAAATACTAATAAAATCCCGTCGGCAATGTAAGCCGCCTTAAATAATAATAAAAAAAAAAAATAAATATCTAACTTTTTTCTATCTTTTAACTTTTTTGTAATATCAATTAATTTATTTTGCATCTCACTATTGCTAATTACTTTTTGAATTACTGCCTTCTCTATATTAGCTATTCTAACTTTTACTTCTCTCTCTTATTTATTTTCTTTCTTATATAAAAGTTTTTTAGCTACTATATAGACTAACAAAGGTATTTCAATTAATATTATATTTCTTTTGCATAATACTTTTCTACAACTTGATGCTATATCTTCTGCTTTTGCCTTATTATATAGCTTGTATTATTATATCTTCTAAATATACAACTCTCATACTTACTAGCTAATATATTTTCTGTATTCTCATTTATTTTAATTCACCAATGCTCAGTTACAAAATGCTTATTTTCTTTTTTTATAACTTTGCCTATTTTAAAGCTTCTTTCTTTTTTGAAGATGATTTATTTTTTTTTTCTTTTTATCTATAAATATTTCTAATTTACTACATCTTATTGTATATTAGTTTAGTTTTATTATATAGTAATCTTCTTTTACAGACTTCGATATGATACTATCTATAACCTTTTCTTTTATATACTTAAACCAGTATAGCTTATAACCTCTTCTCTTACAATTTCTAATATGTCTTACTTGCTGTCATATCAGAAGTCTGTTGCTACTACTTATTATTATCTGTTCAAGTATAAAGATGTTTATATTATTGTTTTCTCTATATCTGTTAACCTTTTTTTCATCTAACAAACTTAAGATACTTGTGTCTAAAATTTCTATATTCTCTTCATAAGTACTATTTTCTTGAAAAATAAAGCTTAGTTTTTTTCTTTGTATATTATCTTATATGCTAGATTAAACTTAAGCTTTGTATAATCTAACTTACTGAAGTTGCAGAAGATATTGCTTATGCTCATACAGCTTAATTATGCTTCTTTTACTCTTAATCTTGTAGTAAGTCCTACTTCATTTTGTTTATTTAGACACATAGTTAGCTCTGTAATATGATGTGCAAGCTGATTTTGCCAAATTGTTTGTAGACCTATAATCTTCATATGACTATACATACAATTTGGAGCAGAATAAGATTTTTATATTGTAATAACCAAATTATTTATTATAATAATAATAATAATAAATGACCCCTAATATATAGACCAATTGAAGATACTGTTAAAGCAATGGCTGAACTTGTTGAAAAGGGTAAAGTTAAATATCTTGGACTTTCTGAATGTTCTGCCAATACGCTTATAAAATATATCCAATCGCTGCTGTTCAGGTAATTAACATTATTAAATTTGTTTAACATAACATATTGAATTCAGTAAATGTACGTGTTATATTTAAACGAAATATAGTCCATGGTGACATTGAAACAAATGGACTTAAAGAAACTTGTGAAGAACTTGGTATTGCAATTGTCGTGAATTGCCCATTAGGATGTGGTTTTTTAATGGTAGGATAGCTTTTTTTTTTTTTTTTTACTGAAAAATAGCATTAGTAAAATTGTAAGCTGACAATATTAATTATGGATGTATAGGAAAGATATAAATCTATGGAGGACTTTGCCTCTAACGACGTTCGTAGAATCAATCCTCGTTATATGGGAGAAAATTTTGCAAAAAAAATTTAGAGTTTGTGAAAGAAATTTAAAAATTGGCCGAGAAGAAAGGAGTTACTGCTAGTCAACTTTGTTTGGCTTGGGTTTTAGCTCAGGTATGCTACGATCCTATTATATAAATTAAATATTTAGCACCTGATTTATTATTTTTTTGCATATCAATTAGGGTGAAAATATTATTGTAATTCCCGGTACTAAAATCTTAAATACTTGAAGGAAAATGCTCAGGCCGCTGATATTAATTTAAGCTCTGAAGAGTTAGCTGAAATTCGAAACATTATCAATTCAATTGAAGTTATCGGACATCGATATAATGAACGTGGAACAAAGGTAATTTTCATTATTTTAGAAGTTGCAATTTTCGGATATTTCACATCACCGAAGTATGTGTTTAGAAAACATGATCCCATGAAAATAATACGAGTATAAATGCCCATTGTATAATTGCATATTATTCTGTTTTTATATGAAGTAAAATATCTGAAAATTTATGTTAATTGATAAAACTGAATTTAAAATATATTCACGTAACTTTCTTTTTAGCTTTTGGATGGATAAATATATGTCGTTGAAAGTTCTGAAGTAAATTACTAAAGTTATTGTACCTATAAGTGTAATTTTTATCCGAAGTTAACCTAAATTATCAACATAGTTGTAGGAAAATACTTTATTTTTTTAGGTCTCTCTTTTACTGTTATCTTAGCTTATAAAAGGATTAAATGATATCAATACGTATAATTTTTAACTAGCACTTTCGACTTAGTCCCCAATCTAATTTTTAACTAGCACTTCGATTTAGTTCCCAATAAATGTTCTAATATAAATATTCAACATGGGAGGCTTTTCATTTTTAGAAAATGTTACGAGTTTACAAAACTTAGTTGAAAAAAAAATCAATAAGTTAATCACGGCTTAGCCGTAGTTTATTCAGCTCGGCTACAAATGGTTATGCTTGTGTAACGTAAGTGCCATTAGCCGAGCCGTTTAGCCATTTCTCATCTCTAGTTTTAGATTTATTTATCTTTTGTTTTATAAACCAAATTTCGAATTCTACAAAAATATTTAATTTTTATTTTTTATATCAAGTATGTCCAAATTTAATAGGCCCGAAACTATTATAATTTATAATATTAATTAATATATAAATCAAAATAAAAGATTGTTATATAAAAATAATAAAATTATTTTA